GGCTGGATTCGAACCCACCACCTTAGGTGTATGTGGCTGGCACCTTAGCCACTTGAGCCACAGGCACCAAGCCTACTTAGGCTTTCTAAACATCAATTTCTTTAATTCTTTTTTGTTTCAAAAAAAAAGAAAGTCTCATTTTGTCATCCTTGATAGAGTTCTATGGTATCAAACCTCAAACTCTTGGGCCCTAGCGATTCTCTTGCCTTAGCTTTCGATGTAGCTGGGACTACAGGTGCCCGCCACAGTGCCTGGCTAATTTTTAAGAGAGGTGGGTCATGCTCTTGCTCAGGCTGGTTTAGAACTTCTGAGCTCAGATCCACCCACCTCAGCCTCCCAAAGTGCTAGGATTATAGGCACTAGCCAGGGCACCAGGCCCCAGTTTCTTTTTCTGTAAGTGAACCTAAAGCCTATATCAAGGAACATAGAAGTTACTTATTAAACTTTAAAGCATAATATAAGTACATGCTTGTTACATTTGTGGGACAACATTTCTGTTTCTTAATCTTTGGTCACTTTTAATAGTGTCTCAATTTCAAAAACTTGCCTCCCTACCTTTGGAGCCTGAGAAAAGAAGAGGTTTATTACATCACTTTGTGATTTATTTCTACCACTGTGGTTTTTAGATCTTGTCTGTGAAGTTTTTATTCTATGGTCTGCTACAGTAAATTGAAGGTCATGCTCTAAAAAGGTATAGTGCTATTTGGATTATTTAAGTTACTTTAAACAAAGACTCTGGAATTTGGAACTGTTCCAGTATTAATATGGGGTTAGCAATTGAAAATTATTATAGAACATGACTCATGAAAATGGGCTTGGGTCTGATTAGTGTGAGGCCAGCTATGAGTGAAGGGGTCCAGAGGGGAAAGAGGGTATGTGACCTATACTGGACATAAGCTGTGTCCGATCACAGATATATGCCATGGTAACAGTGTGTGGTATAGAGACCTATGTCTTCTTTTTCCTTTTCTATTTCTACATGTGATTTTTGTTTTGGTTTCCTGACCTTTTTTTTTTTTTTTTAAATAAGATGACATTGTTTCTTCTTAGCATTTCTTCATTTTGGTCATTTTCTCTAAACATTGACATAGACACCAAAGAGTGACGTGAAATTTCACTGCCAGTAATTTGCAATGAGTGAGTTTTTGATTGTGCCTTTTGGTGTTATGTGTAGTGTTGATGATTATGGCCAGGTCTTCAAAGTTAAGTTAAAATTAGATTTTTCTGATTTTTCTGTAGATCAAGCCATTTTATCACTATAGGCAGTCCACAGCTTATGAATGAGATAAGTTCCGTAGGTTTGTTGTTATGTTGAATTTGTATGTTAGTTGGAATGGGTGTGTTTACCTATTACCCATTCATAAGTTTGAGTTGGATGTCTGTCAGATGTTTGTATCTCAGGGACTATATATGGATAATGGAGAAATACTTTTAATAAGGACAGATGCCATTTTAGAGATTACTGAGAATGATGGAATACAAAATTATTTTGCTAGGATTACCTTGTCTTTTCTATTATAACCTGCTCCTCTGATTATTTTGCTATCTGTAGTCAATTTAAAAATTAATTTCAGCTGAACTCTGTGGCTCATGCCTGTAATCCTAGCACTTTTGGAAACTGAGATGTGAGGATCGAGGCCAAGAGTTCAAGACTATCCTGAGCAACAGAGTGAGATTCTGCCTCTACCCAAGAAAATTAGTTGTTCACAGCAGCTCACACCTTTGTGTCATCCCAACTCCTTGAG